CAGTCAACGGCCTCGTAGCCAAGCCTTGCAGCTGAGCCGCGAGCGAGTGCAATTGAATTGGAATATAAGCGCTGCTCTATGTGTAGTCCTGTGCCCGCCGTCTGGTGCTGTGCGAAATGTCGAGCGCAAATGCGTTGAGCGTCGTACTTCCGCCTTTTTCGGAGGGTTTAGCACCTCTGTGCGGAGGATGAGCCATCGTAGAGCTGAATCCAGATCGCCAAGTCTGGATGAATCGGGGCGGCGGCGTGTAAACAACCACGAGATCTCGAATTGCAGACGCAGTCATGGACGGCATCCTGCCATCACGTGAGAGGGAGATTCAAGTGGCTCGTGCATGCTATCTTTTGACTTAGCGCGGACTCGTCACTTGTGCTGCCGATGACTGCACGCTGCCGCGAAGGCGCTGCATAACGCGTATATATGGGCTGCTCGGAGGGGTCAGGTGCCGCCGCCGGTGTGCACGCGCCTGATGCCTGCCTTCCTTCATATGCTGCAGCTGCTGCATGGCAGAGTCGCGACGAGAGGACAGCCGCGCGCGCGTGTCCGACACTCACGCACGACTCACGACTCCGGTCCAATTTGGCAGGATGGCATGCATGGCGGCTGTGTTGCTCTTTAGGGGGTCACACTCGATCTGGATGCTTCATCTCCTCATCCTCATCCTCTTCCCCCAACATCCCATTCATTGCGCACGTCGAGCTGCGCTGCCACTGCGCGACGCAACGCGGCTCGCTGCTCAGTGTTATTGGTCTTTCACAGCTCGACTCTGCCTGCATAGCCCTTGAATCGCCTTTCGAGCGGGCATACAGTCACGGGGTGCGCACAATGTCGCCGACGATGCCATCCCGCAAGCCCGCTTCTGGCGCCGCCGCTTCGACTCCAAGACCCGTCTCTGCCACAAAGCTCTCCGAAGCGCGTGTAAGCTCACCCACAACGCCTTCCAACCCTCGATCTAGCGCCGTGATGTCCGACTCGCTCGACTCCCCTTCCACGCCGACCCCAGCTAAGCGACTGGGCAGCAGCTCCAAAGCTTCACAGGCCGTTGCACCAATCTCGAGCGGTCTTACGCGGGAGGAAAATCAAAATGACACTGCCACAGATACTGAAGCTGAGGCGGACCTGGCAGATGCCGACTCGAACACCATCAGCACTTCTCCCAGCGCTTCCGTCAGCGCGCGGAGCGTAGCCTCAAGCAGCAGACCTCGGCCCATCGAACTCAGCTTACCCACACGAAGAAGACTGATTCGTAAGCCTTTGCCCAGCCTTCCGGGCGCTGGTGATGAGGATGGCAATGACGGGGCCAGCGGCAGCTCAAGTCAGAAGAATGGTGCAGTAATTCCAAGCTTGCCGGGCGTTAGGGCTCTTGAGTGGACGCCGAGCTCCCTACCGGAGCACGAAATTCAAGATGATGGCGCAAAAGAGCTGCATTCTCGGCACGATCAGCATGAAACAGGGCGCGGACCTGGACTCGATGCTCAAAGCGCCGAGCACTTGGACCTCTTTGTCTCTCACTTCATCAGCGGCAGTCAGCTGCATTCCGGTCCGAGTGCAAGCCCAGAAACAAAGACTGCGACACTCAAAGCCAGCACATCAAGAAGCGAAGCTTCGGAGACTCTTTCGTCCGGTACCGTCAAAGAGTTCCCCAGCACTGGCACTGGAGCAGGAGATGAGCTGGATGCAGAGATGGGTCTGGCAATGGCGAGAGCGGTCAAAGAGGCCTGCGTCACCCTGTCGGCTCCAGACTCGCTGGAGGCCTTGCAAAGGACTGCAGCGATGAAGTGGAGAGCAGAAGCTTCCATCAGAAATTCTATGAATCAGGAAGGCAACATTCAAGCGCAAGCTTCTAGCCGATGGGCTCGTCTAGGCTGGGCCGGTCTCATAGGAGTAGGAGCTGGGAACGTCAATGCGACCGGAATGACGTCGACTAGAGTGACGAGCAACTCTTCCGCCTACAATCCTTCTTCAATCACATCCGAAGCTCTCAATGAGCAGTTCCTGGCTAGCCTGAGACTGTGTAGAGACGAAGCGAGCGGGAGCGATGGAGAGGCGCGCTTGCGAAAGAGAGACGTTGCTGTTCGCATGCTTGCGAATGCGGCCTGGCTTGTGCGCATGTACGCAGCCGGGCCAGCCATCCAATCAGAGACTGGATTGCCAACCAGCAGCATGGACTCTGTTGCCACGCAATCGACGCCCGGAGTCGCAAGTAGTTCCACCAAGGACACTGCCAAAAAGGCAGGTGGACCCGCACTACTCCGCGGGCCGACGGTAGCTGTAGCCAAGACGACAGTGTCGCTCGACACTGGAAGCAGTCTGGAGGGTCTGGACAAAGCGCATCAAAGCTTTCCACCAGCTACAAACCCGTCAGAATGCACCAATGTTGCGGCTGAAGGATCACTACTGCAGCCGCCATCCCGGCCTTCCTCGACCGCCCCTGCATCCACTAGCAAAGCAAGAGAGCACTTGGCTTCACTTAGTGCCGCGGCTGGCGCTGCCATGGCCGCTGCTGCCCGAGAGGCAGACGCGACTGCAACGTCTCGAATACCCTCAGAAGGGGCATCTCGTCGTCCAAGCATGACCAGCTTGTCCAGCCAAATCTCCACGTCTTCAAAAGCGTCTGCAGCTGCGGCGGAGAGGGAGGAAGCGGCAAGAATCGAGACGGAGGCCATCGAAAAAGCCAACAAAGCTTGGCTGGAACACGTGGGTACGAAGTGCGATCAAGCTGCAAGAGCTTGTGTGGCCCAGATCGGCGTCCGGATACAGGTCGTTCCGAGGAATATTAGAAGGAGGACGGGAACCATCACTGCTTCCAAGACTCTTGGCTTCCCATCTCTGTGGCCGCTCTCGGCGTCGTCGGACCCAGACAAAAAAGAGGAGAATCTGCAATTGGTCGAGTGGCAGCCGAACAGTTTCGACGGCGAGCATCTACTTGGTTCACCCTCCCACTCCTTGTCGCTCTCTAAGACTGCTGTCGACCCGCACCTCACGCGTGTGGGTGGAACATTTGTGCTCAGTGTCGAAGACGAGGCGGAAGGCTCAGTAGCTCGCCGTGCGCTGGAAGTGCTCGTCTACGTCGGCCTCTGCATGCTCCTAGAATCGGCGTTCTTGACCGCCATTGGCGCACCAAGACCACAGCCTGAACCGACGAGGACAGACGCAGATACGCGAGACTCGTCCGGCAAGGTTGTGCAACGTGCACGTGCTCGGTCTGATGCTTCTGTCGCCCTGAAGAAAGAGGCTCCGACATTGCCGGAAGCATCTGAGACCACGTCGAACAACAAGACACCGCGCAAGTGGGGAAGGGGACTGTGGGGTGTCGGAGGAGCTGTGAGTGCTGCGCTTCGCGCCCCAATCTCTGGTCGCGCCAGTATCGACGAGACTCCAACTCGTCACGTGCGCAAAGCATCGAGCGGAAAGTTTGAAAGATCTTCCACGATGGACGTCCACGTCGGCGAAAGTGCACCAGGAGCGAGAAGGGCGAGCATCACCTCTGAGAGCGTAGGTCTACCACGATCGAAGACGAAGGATGAGCGACGGATCAGTGGAAGCCAAGCTTCTAGAGCTACGCGGGCCTCCCTTGATCTTGCTAATCCTTTCCGCACCGGGAGATTGGGACGCATCATCAGCTCCAGTCTTTCGCGCCAGTCAGACCTGAGCGACGAGGCTGAGCAAGCAGAGGCCGAGGTTGCGAAAGACGAAGGCACTACGTCCCCAGATCCGACGCGACCGAAAATTCCTTCAGTCCCAGACAAGGAAAGCACGCTCAAAGCTCGCGGAGACGCACGAAGTCTCGTCGCACTGGCTCCTGCGCCCCTAAGCGCGTCGCCAGAGGTGGCAGCTCTGTGGGCTCGCGAGGAGCGAGACCGAAGTATGGGCGACCAGTCCTTTGTGGAAGCATTCCACAGCGCGCAACGATTAGCTTTTCTGGTTGAAGGCAATGCTGTTCTGTTGGCCTTTGCCGCGGGAGATGGCGCTACTGATGCCGTCGATGAGGAAGATGTGGAGGAACTCAACGATCCTTCTACGCCCACTCCAAATGCCCCGTTGAGTGTAGCCACACCAAATTCGGCGCGCAACGTCAGTGGTGCCTCTCTGCCTCCGACTCCGAGCACCGCTGCCAGCGCGAGCGCAAAGGACGTCAAAAGTATACCTGGACAGGACGTGATTGTAGCCAGGGGTGAAGTACGCTTCTATGCGCGAGCTGGAAGGTCGAAAGACGTGCCTCTTGGTCAGCTGATCGAAGAGATGTGCGCCAAGGTGAATGAGGAAGAAGCCAAGGTCCGGCATTCGGCTGCGAGCAACAAGGCCGCGGCTGTCGAGTCTGCGCCTCGGGTTGCATCACAGGCCATTCACTACATTCACGGAGACCACCGGATCAGCGTGGTCGCATCCCTTTTGCCTTCTGGACTGATCAGCACTCAGCACAAGGAAATTGACCACGCTCAAGGCGATTCTAGCGAAGATCAAGATGTAGCTGTCGTCGCCGCCGCTCTTCACACTAACAATGACGCTGCAAGAGCCGCTGTAGCTGCTGCAGAGTCAGCAGTGCTTTGTGCTGAGATGGAAGGTAACTTGATCGATGCGCAAGGCCTTTCCATTGTAGCGGAGAAGAACAAGCTCTGGATGTGGAACGTGGAGACGGGTACGGGTGAACAGAGCAAAGCGACGATCGTACCGAAAGGAGTCTATCTCATGTCTTTCGCCAAGTATCTCGAAGCGCTGCTCTACCATCCCGCCCTGAAGAAGTCGACTGCGCACGATGCGGACGCGGGAGATGGATACGATCTGGTCCGAGCTTTTCGAATGGGTAGAGCGCTGGTCAAGATTTGTACGCAGCCCATCGCGCTGTACGATCTGGCCATCGAAGGTCCAAGGATCTACTCATCGGCTCACACCCGGGGCCAGGAGAGCAAAGTCTCGCCATCGAAGCAGTCGGCTGCAATCGTCAAGCAGACAAGGTTAGAGATCCAGCGATTCTTTTCGAGCGTCAAAGCTCGCATCTCGCAGCTCGAGACCATCTTTGTGGCGCGTGAGCTGGACGAGATGGGAAAGACGATCAAACCTGCTAGCGTCAGCAAATCTTTCACCGGTGTTTCCATGGATTTGGAGAGCTTGTCAGAACGTAGCGTCAACGAGGAGCTCGCTGGCCCCTTGCAGCTCCTTGCGAGTCTAGGCGAAACCTTTACCAACCGAGAATTTGAGCTCTACGACGCTTTGAAAGAGACTGATCGTGAGTAAGTCCTGCCATTGAATGTTGTTGCGTGCCCATTCTGAAGCAGGTCATGATCAACTATGCAGCCAACGTGATCAACGACATTCGAAAGGCCTTCAACGATCGCGCCAAGTCGGCCAAGAATCGCCTAGCTGCCTGGACGACCAAGCATCTCACTAAGGCTGAACTCAAGCAGCTGGGTCCCTTGGACTTTGAACTCCCAGAGTATGCCAAACCAGGCGTGCACTCGTTCCCAGGATCGAAGCATTTGATTCGGGAGGATGAGCCACTAAGCATTGTGGCATTCTCATTGTCTTCTCGGGACTACAAGGGCGAGATGGGTGCTGCAGTGCCCCAACAGCCTGCACCTGAGCACAATCAACGTGTGCTCAACTGGAGGACTAGCGTGGTACCAGGAGGCGGATCGCAAATTTCCTCCAACTCGGGTGTGCCATCCGTCGCGGGTTCCACGTCGACTGATGCATCGCGCAGAAGCGCGGGATCGTCTGCTCTGGATCCAGATGTGGACGAAGATTTCCACCAGGCTGAGCCGGTCCGAGTTCATATGAAGCGCAAGCGCCGAGGTCGAGAAGCGTCTATCCTGTCTCTGACACTGCGACGTGTGGGTTCGTCGATCTCAGCTCATTCCGACTCGCAAGCGACGACGCCAACGGCGGAACACGTGCCGGTCTTGGACCAGGCCTCAGGCATCGACAAGGCTGTCAGGACAGACGCGCTGGAAGATGATGCCGACGCGAGCTTCAGCGGACTCTCGCTCGATGTCGATCTAGCAACTTCTGGTGTTTCGCCCTTATCGCCACACGCTTTTGACAAAGTCCAGTCTACGCCTCCAGCGAGTGTGATGCGCAAAGGTGCGAACCCTCGGGCTTACGATGGCTCCATCGCTAGCTCGAGCAGCGTAGGCGGCAACAGCACTTTTCGTGCGCACGTCACGCAGCTCTCTGTGCGGCCAAATTCGCTCGCTTCCATCTTCTCCCGCGATACTGCCGAGCTCACCGAATTGGCTGGGAACGATCCGGATGTAAGCAGCACCTCTTTCGGCTCGAGCTGGGGAGTGGGCAGCTTGCGAGCAGGCAAACAGGAGACGTCAGCGGCAGGCCCTACGGGCTCGCGCATTTCTTTCCACTCTCTTGCACCGCCAACACCCTCCACCGAGGTGCCACCTGAGCTCTCGACCTCATTGGCTACGGGCGCTGGCGAAGTCGCGCTGTCAGCAACGCCTCGCTCGACTTCGCATACTCACAATCAAGCGGAATCTCCACACGTGAAACACAATTTGTTCCACGGTAACACCAAGGTGAGCAGTATCATGTTCTGCTCTGAAGAGTCTTCTGTCAGGTTCAAATGGCGCGTGTTTGCATCCACAGGTGTCGTGCGTCAGCTGGTTTGCGCAAGACTTTGCCACATTGCGCCGCAAGTGGGGCATCGTCGACAATGATTTCGCCGAAAGCCTGGCGCGCTGCGCATCTTGGAACGCCAGCGGTGGCAAGAGCAAGTCCGCATTCTTCAAGACCAAAGATGAGCGTTTCGTCGCAAAGCAGCTTCTTACTGTCTGGTCTGTCGACGAGAAGGAAGCTTTCTTGTGAGTAGGAACGAAGCTTTCGGCTCTGCCCATCGCTGCGTGCTGAAACGTGGCCACCGTAGAGAGTTTGCCCCTGCATATTTGCGATACATGATGAACGCCGCTGTCAATGTGAGTGGATTCGTGTAGTTGTGCAGATGATCGACGCTCAGATCTAAGCATCTACTCCTCAGGACTGCCCAACTTTGCTAGTCAAAATAGCTGGTGTCTATAGTCTGAAGGTCAAGCAGGTCGGTGGCGAGACGCGCCTCAAGATGAACATCATGGTGCTTGAAAATCTCTGGACAGGCAAGGAGGTCAGTGCAGCTTTCTGCGGGTGGCAGCTGATCCGCAACTTCTGACTGCTGCTGCATCGTCTCAACGTTTTGCCTCAGACGGCGCGATTCGACCTCAAAGGAATTCGAGACCGGCGTGTAAAGCCTGGTGCCGCACCGCTTGAAGAGGGTGATGGTCCTCCTGTGCTGTGGGATGCAGAATGGGTCGACTGTGAGTGCATCACGAGAAGGAGAGGTCGATCTCGCGTTGCCGCTGACTTGCGCTGCTGGGAATTATCCTACCACCATAGTGTATCACGCGCCATATGTTGCAGAAGAGCAAAAGGCAGTATTCATGCGAGCAGTGTCGAATGATTTGCACTTTTTGCAGCAGACGCAGATTATGGACTATTCCTTGCTCTTGGGCGTCACTGAGCCCAGTCCCAACTCGGCTTCCGCCGATGATGCGGGAGCAGCGGAGCACGCACCTCGGCGACCTGTCCTGCAAGCTAGGATTGTCGACATTATCGGCGCATGGACCTTGGCGAAAAGCTTAGAGTCGAGTGGGAAACGTGCTCTTAAAGGAGGTGGCAACAAGGATGCAGTCACCATTCGACCTCCGCCAGAGTACGCCGCTCGCTTTGCTCGAGCCATGGGTGGGTTGGGCTTCGTAGGGTGCTGCAC